TTCATTTTTGGTTCACTTTTGCAGGGGGCATTGGAAATTCCACATGTCCTCAATGGGGGGTGCGGATTAATAATGCGATCAGCCAATACTAAGGCTAAGAATTTTTCCGCCATCTTATTCGCTGAGGCTTACCATATGACCAGAGCCATGTGACTGTTGACTAAATCACAGAATACTATTAAATAATAAATATGTGACTGCACAAATTTCAATAAGATGTTTAATGGCGGTGTCCGTGATCTGAAATAATTCGTGTAATATCCGTATTTGTTAGCAATTGTCTGTTAAGCCACGTCGTTCGTTTATAGATGGTGAGTGTTTAAACTTGTAATTTCATTTTTTATTTCAATATTACAAGGGCAAAAGGCTAATATTGGGAAATTTGTATTGTGTTTTCATAATGAACCTAAAATATCAATGCTTCCAAGCCCCAGGGGGAGAAGGTCGGACATATGTTGGGAATTTGATTTTCCACAAGGCAGTCGGACGTAAATCAGTATTGGAGGGGGGGGGGAGTGTTTCAAGAATAAATCTGAATTGCTTTCGCACTTTTCTTGTTCTTTTGTGTGTTTTGCTTATACAAATGGAAATTATTGGGGGGGGAGGGCGCTTTCAACGACCTTGTTTCATGCAAATATTTGTTCAAATTCCCTACCATGCGGCACCAAATATTTGTCACATGTGATCAAATGCCTCATTGTTGGGAACAAAACATTTGCCAAAATATTGCTCAGGTCATTTGCAAACTTCTTGCAATTCCTTTGCTCAACACCTCAAAACATTTTGAGAAGTTTGTCAAAAACTTAATAACTTCCAGTGTTTGAATTGACCAATCACATTACATACACAAATTCCAACTGACCAACAACATGAAAAGCATTTCATGAATGGCTTCACGTAAAAATTTGAATGTTTTTACTATGATGTGATACATTTTTGTTATTGTAATATTGAAATTTGTTTCAAAATTGATCATTTGCATACAATTTCATAAAACTAGCATTTGTTTCCAACATATATGCAAAAGTACATATCAGGTGGTAGAACGAAGAAATATAACAATGTTTTTCAGATTTAGCGTGTGGATAGAAACAGGTAAAACATTTGACAGTCGTAAACAATGTTGTTGATACTTTATCTGTTTTTCTTCCTTGGTATTTTAAAGAGCAATTTATATTGGTCAATTTAAACAGGAAGTTGTGAAGTTTTTGAGGAACTTCTCAAAAAGTTGATGTACATTTTTGGGTGACAAATAAACAAGGGTGACAATCCATTCCAGAAATGGGTCAGACCTGGCTGGTAGACCTGGAGGTATGCCCTCCTAACGTTTGAGGTATTTTCACAACAATTATTCCAGGCAGAATGTACACCTTTATGTACACCCAGTCTTTGTTGCTCAGTTAAAACAGAGTCTGTGGGATAGGGCATCCCCAGAATTTCCACCATTGATAATAAATACATGTTAGCAATAATATTTCTTAAGCAGAAATGCTCAGATGTATTGGTCATAATTTATTATATTACTCCCACTCAATGGGTTTAAATCTGATGATATAGAACTCTTAAACCTTCAAGCAGCAATGTGCCCTGAATCACACTATTTATTATCTTACTGTTTCTAATAAAAAAATTATTTTACTCATCAAGGGGACTGCTGACACTCAATGGATTGACCAACCTGCTAATGCATTCTTGTTACCCATTAAGTGGCAATATGCCCTAATAAGCACAACTTTATTATTTCACTGTGTTTAGTTCAATTAATTTTAGCCTGCGAACAGGCTCTCAAGCTGAATTGAGAGCCTGCATCGATGACTAATGAATTTGAATATCTACGTCTCAAATCGTGACACGAAATTCTCATTGGTCAGATGCTATAATTTATATGTTTCCGCTGAGCTCTATATATGTCAACTGCTGAAGCACTATGCATAAAAAACACATTAACTGATCAAATTGGTCTTGGCCGTCTTATCTCAAAGCACGAAATGTTCTGTTTTGAGAAAACAGTATTTAAAACATTTGAACTTTTGCTTGAATATCTTATATTTCGAAAAACAGTATAAACTGTACGGTCTAAATTTAGTTTGCACTGTCTAAATTTAGTTTGCTGCACGAAAGTTGTAAACAACACCATATAAGGATAGACATTCCATATTTGGAGAAACGAATGTTACGGGGCAGATATTCAAATTCATTAGTCATTGATGCAGGCTCTCAATTCAGCTTGAGAGCCTGTTCGCAGGCTAGGTTAATTTATATGTTTTTGAATTTTGATATATGTTTTTCATAGATTTTTACTATTCTTGTCACTCAGAGTGTACCTGTATATACTATATATATATATATTTAACAAATATAAAACATTTTCCGTGTTGATATACAGTTATATCAACACGAGTGGAATTGGGAAAACGAGAAATTGTACGGAAACATGATGCCCGAAGGGCAGAGTGTTTTCATTCGAGTTTTCCCAACTTCCACGAGTGTTGATATAACTATATAGCAATAAGGAAAAAATGTTTTATATTTTTTTTATAATATAGCAATGTCAAAAGCCCGAAGGGGAAGAAAAATTTCTGTGTTTACAAGTGGCGGAAAATTTCCCGTGTTGACATTGCGTTATATCAACACGGCTCTTAGCCAATCAGCGTTCAGAATTTACAAATGCCATATTATATATACAGGGTGTATCAAAAAAAGTAAGACAATTTTGAAATTGCTCTCAATTCCACAATTCTGTTCATGAAATATAATTTTTGCTATATATGGATTGCTTGAGTTCTTAAATTATGGAAAATATAAAAAAATTTGAAAATAGTAAATGTTGCTATCCAGGGGGGTGGTCAACTTTTGCTCTCCTAAAAGTGGCTTGCACACGGAAATGACAAACAGTATTCTTTATTTGAGTTCATGTATGAAAAGTTCGCTATTTGTTGCATTTATGATAAAATTTCGGCAGGATTACACCGAGTACAAATCCTACGAAAAGCCTATGAAAACGTTACATTTTTTTCTGTTGGTGCTGTTCTTGCTTCATTATGAATTCATTTTTACTCCCATGAGAGTTCCGTGGAATTTCCATGGAATTTGTGCTTTCGAGTTGTTTGTGCTGAAACGCATTTTCTCGTATAATACCCCGTACGTATTCGCACGTATTCGCACGTGAAGGGCATCGTACATCTGGATATTCGTTCGTGAAACTTTGGCGAACCAAGTTTATGTTGTTGCTACGGAGGAACTCTGATACCATGCATAAAAGGTCTCTACTGCGGGGTAAATTGTGGCATCGCCATCTCAAAGTGTAAGGGGTATTATACGAGAGAATGCGTTTCAGCACAAACAACTCGAAAGCACAAATTCCATGGAAATTCCACGGAACTCTCATGGGAGTAAAAATGAATTTATAAATGAAGCAAGAACAGCACCAACAGCGAAAAATGCAACGTTTTCATAGGCTTTTCGTAGGATTTGTACTCGGTAAAATCCTGCCAAAATTTTATCATAAATGCAACAAATAGCGAACTTTTCACACATGAACTCAAATAAAGAATATCGTTTGTCATTTCCGTGCACAAGCCACTTTTAGGAGAGCAAAAGTTGACCACCCCCCTGGATAGCAAAATTTACTATTTTCAAATTTTTTTATATTTTCCATAATTTAGGAACTCAAGCAATCCATACATATAAAAAATTACATTTCATGAACAGAATTGTGGAATTGAGAGCAATTTCAAAATTGTCTTGCTTTTTTTGATACACCCTGTATAGACCTTTTTAAAAAGTCTGCCTTGTGACGTTGTTTGCAGATAAATTCGATCATTTGGCCAATCTAGAAAGCCAAATCATTGTGTAGGGTTTTACTTTATCCGAAAACTATGTCACAAGGCAGACTTTAAAAGAGTCTATTGACCATCATTATCCAGGATTTTATTTGTAGTATCAGTTATTTTTATTTAAGTAAAAAAGGATATAATAATGTGAAATGGTTCAAAATATTCACAATATTTTCAATATAGACCTAAACTGTAAATTTAATGAAATATATTTTGGTCAATATATTGTTGCTATGGTATCTATTATCAATATGGATAAGTACTTTTAATCGGTAATTTCACAAAAGAAAGCTTATTATTCGAAGGGTATTCATGTGAACGTCTTCAAACTTTGTATACTTACTAATTTTGAGGTGGTCGTTTTAGTTCCTGAACTGGATCCTAACCCCCACGTAATCCATACTATAACCTCTAACCTCTTGGGTTTTTTTTATCCACCCAACCTCCCCAACGATTAAGTATTTACGGTTTTCCCTTCCCTCCTCTCTCGTGCCTGCGCACACTGAATTTAGCGGTTACCTTATTTTTTATCTTGTAGCGCAATTGACCTTTTTGAAAAGTCTGCCTTGTGACGTAGTTTGCAGATAATAGGGAGTTTACCATCTATGACGCGACCGACTCAACGATGCGGTTCAAATTTCAGCTCAAGAATGAGCAATTTGATTACTGTATTAAATATTTGACGTTTTTTCAAATAACCTGCAGTCGCAGATGAAGAAACCCGCACAGCCATTTGGCTTCCCTGATTGGCCAAATGATCGTATTTATCCGCAAACTACGTCACAAGGCAGACTTTTTAAAAAGGTCTGTTCAATGTTAATAGCCCACAACCACCTCTATTTGTTTCAAAACTGATTTTATATGTTTTGCAGGCCAAAGGAGGCATTTGCAAAGTGAAGCGTTGCCAAAAATATGGGAGTTACCTAAAAAGACTGGATGTACACCTAAAAAGAACTCACCCAACTTTATCAGAAAAAATGCACAGATATTTACCCTTGCCACCTACTATGTCTGGTATACCAAATCACATGAAATACAGAAAGAAGGAGACATGTAAACTATGTGGCAAAACACTGTTATTGCAACCACATCTGAAGAGGTGTTATAAAATATATTCAAGAGAGGATTAGAACAAATTACCATGTGCTAAAAATAACAAATCAGGTAACAAGGTGGTTGTCAAAGAAAAACATCTTACTCCAGCAACACTACATCGTACAGATGAAGAGTATTTAGAAAGAAAACAAACTGGACTGTTTAATGCGTGGCAAAACCTGAAGACTCCACAAAAGACCAAACCGGTGCCCATGGCAAAACAAACCACAAGTACGAAAGGTCACCATAGTGGTGATGGTAATCTGCCCAAAGTAAGCTCAATACTGGAAAGCAACGAGACGTCCTACAACAAAGAAAAAATGCACTCTTTGGAAGAAATGGTTCGATACTTTGTCCACAAAGTGTACCCTTACCAAGTTATAGCAATGGGATTGGCAGCAACAAAATATGGTTACAAAAGCAAATCTGCTATTGCTTCGTTTTTGCATAAGACATGCATGAACAATTTAAACATTGATGATTGTAACAATGCAATTGACTATTTACAATATCTTTGTCCATATTTTCGCTTTTGTCCATTTTTTTAATATTCCAAGTTTAAATGTATTTGCACTGGTGGTAGTTCATGAACACCTCTCCCTAAAGATTTTAAAATTTACTGCAAAAGGAAATGTGCAAAGTCCTTGAACTGTGGATGTAAATTATTGGACGATTCAGCACATGCATGTCTTGATTTTTTCTTTTGCAAAGTGTGCGATAAATACTACAAAAGTACTTCCAAACAAAGTTGTGTAAAACTTTAAATTATTAAAAGTTCACTACAGTCTACAGCACATTTATAACAATGAAAATCCATTATTTTGTTAAGGTGGTTTCTCACCAGTAACCAGAAATAGTTTTCCAATAATTCAAGTTAAATTAAGGTTACAGGATACCCTAGGTTATAGATCTATGTTAAACGCCAGTTTCACTAAAAACACATTCTTTCCCAACTTGTGTTATATCGCAACCTATAGACGACATAACGCCTGTAACTTTGCAACTAAAGGCCTGAAAAGCTAGCGGGAACATCCTTTCATAGCCAAGACATGCACCTACAGAACAATAGGTTAAAACGCATGCTTAACATCGCCTTTTTAGTGTGTGTATACGACTCAAAATTAATACGTCTTAAAATTGACTTTAATTTTAATTATTTCCGGCCAAGTTTATAGACTTCGGAAAGCATTCTATTTGATAACTTGTTTAATTGGAAAAAATTTAATTTGTAATGTTTCCTGACGACAGATATATTTCTAAGCTACAAGACAATGTAAAAAGTTTTTTGGGAAATTTGTAAAGTTCTAGGGTATACTGTAACCTTAAAATAACCAACAATCATCACCCAGAAGAGGGAAAAAACTGTAACTTGTAAACATGATATCTTGACCACAAATTTTGGTAAAATTTACTCAAGACAATGTCTAGACTATGGAACTAAAATCGACTGAAGTTGCATAAAAAATTGCAGTATATGTTTGCCAAATTGAAACAAAATTTCAAATTAATGTTTTAAAGCCAAATTTCTTGGTAATCAAAGAAAAAGGCTTTATGTTTTTTTGGCATAGTTTGTACAGTACAATTCTTATCCCTGTTTATAAAGATTGCCTTTCACGAAAACTCGTATTTCAAACATTCTCGACGGTCAAGGCAAAAGTTTGATTATAGTGTCATTAAAAATTGGAGGCATCTTCCAGGTGGCACGAGAAAAAACCTCGGAATCACATATATAGTACATTGGACCATGTTCAGTTTTAACAATATTTCTGCCCACAATTTTCGAACGATTCGACATCAATTGGTACAACTCTTTTTGTGTATCACAACTATCCAGCCAATAGCCAGCTATTTTCGTGGTAGGTCGTGCATTGAGCACAACATCCAATTTTCCGGGAAAATAGAATAGCCAATAAGGGTCTTCTGTTGCATTGTAAACAGGAAGAATAATTCCAGTAGCATCTGATCTATGTTTTATATTAGAACCAACAGCGCTCCAAGCATCTTGATCGAAAAAATGTTTACAAGAAAGATACAAAATTAATCTTTCATTTTGATTTAAGGTTAAATCCATAACCTCAACATTTTCCTCTGATGCAACTTTACCGCAATGCAAAACATTGTTTGCTTCCTCTTCACCCAGAATCTTGGATAGAACCTGTTTTTGCCACTGCATAGTTTTAGACATCACGACAGTATTTTGTTCTTCTTCTTGTTGACAGTGATGTTGTTGTGGTGGTGGTTGACCTCGTTGGTGGTGTTGCTGCTGCTGTTGTTCTTGATGCTGTACTAGTTTTGGCTGTTTCTGCTGTTGCTGTTGTTGTTGTTGTTGTTGTTGTTCATCTGGCTGCTGTTGCAGTTCGCTATGTTGTTGCTGCAGCTGAGACTGCTGCTGCTGCTGTTGATGCTGTACTGGTTTTGGCTGTTTCAGCTGTTGCTGTGGTTCATCAGGCTGCTGTTGTTGCAGTTCGCTATGTTGTTGCTGCAGCTGAGACAAGCTCTCGTTTTCCTTAAAGTCTAAAAATGCATTGAAAATATGCAAATAAATTTTAAGTACATATACATTGTGCACTGGATTTAATATATCAAACGCAGTGAATGAATGGCGCCATCTGGAAGATTTATGTTGATATGTTGAAGTCTCAATCGAGTTGCTGAAGTTTTTTGTTTTTTTTTACAATGTGTCAATAAATGGTACTAAAAAGTGAAATTTAAGTTTACTTCTGGTCCAGTATATTTATTACCTTGAATAATTTACTCACTAATCCTGTAAGAGCATTTCAGGATTCTATATTTTCTATATAGTTGGTACAGGATACACAGTGACTTTATCGAATCGTTACTGATTGAATCATCTTATGCACTCATGTTATATATGGCACCTTCATTTCAGGAAAAACTAACAATAAGAATCCAACACTTGTATGTTGAATGTCTACAGTTCAATCCATCCTTAGGACGACTAGGTAAGCACACTTTCACACATGCATACTCCTGAGAGTGCCTCTTAAAGGGAAATGCCAATATCATTTTTATTTTCTTATTTGAAAGAACTTTTAAGACTATATATTTTAAGACCATGTTTTTTCATATCTTGCTTCTACAAAAGGGGTCACGCAATATTTTTATCTAGACAACGACTAATCATTTTGCTCTCAAAACTATACTCTGTCTGCCCTCCGAAATATCAAGATCACTCAAAACCTTTAAAACATCTACCAATCAATATTTGGTCAGCAACGAATGCTTTTATATGGTTAATCCCTGTTGTAACGTCACCAACACTAGCGTTAACAGGGCCGTAGGAAATTGCTTTTTCGGGTAACTTTATACAGCAAACTCACAAACCGTACGAACATTAAGTACAAAATAAACTTAAAAGTCTTATAGTTATATGTAGTTTTTACAAACAAGCTTTCTGACAATGTAGGTTATGTTTGCTCTAAATGACTTTGGAATTTATTTTTTCAGGTATGAGAAAGGACTTTTATATAGGCAAACTGTACGTTGGTACCCGTTAATGAATTATACTGTATTACTGTTACTGTACTTACATATTTATTACTGTACTACGTATTTCTGTCATGCCAATAAAGTCATTTTATCCAACATTAATATTTCATATTTACCTTCAATGAATTTTCTGAATAGATTGAGTGCTACTCGACCACTTTCAGAAGTCTCTATCGTACTTTTGTTTCCGATGAAAGAAACACCAGCTCCTTCTGTTCCATAGTATGTTAAAGTATCGCCGCTACCATGCTTGTGGTGCATTAAAATGACAATATCACAGTTTTTGTGGATGTTCAGAATATCAGCCTAAAAGTGAAACATACAGTATAGCGATTTTTGTAATGTTTTCTGCTTTGTTACATACTTAATAAATATATGAAGATGTTTATGAAATTTGATTCATTGATTGGCTTTTAATTCTGAACAACAGAGCAAAAATCTGTAATCACCATGAACCAATCAAATTATTTATATGCTCCAATTTTCTCATATATTTTTATCAAGTAATAGTATATATGATTTCTCATGCATTTTGGATACACATGCACTCGTGACTCGTTCTTCGGACTCGTGCTCTTTTGATTGCATGCCTTTCAAAAACGTATAATCCAAATTGACCTCAAAATCATATGCAGTCCCCGCATGCATTACAATTTAAACATACTCATTTTTCCATGTGCTTCCTTTGCTGCGTAATGTTAATATTGCTCATATTCTTTAAAGGCTCTAAATCCTTTTCTTTTATTGGAAATTTCATGGAACAATTTTGGTTTTTGCAGGTCTTCTTTGCAATTCCTTGTTCTAGCCCACAACCAGAGCATCTCTAGGAATAGATAAATTGTATTATTATTAGATTGTTAATATTAGCTTGCAAAGTAAAGCCTGGTTCACACGATGAAATAAGCATAAGCAAGCGGAACCTTTGATGTAAACATAAGAAGAACAAATGTTGCGTTCTTCTTATGCTTACGTTTATGCACATCAAAGGTTCCGCTGCTTGTGCTTTTGCTTATTTCATCGTGTGAACCAGGCTTAAAATAAGAGTAGATATGTTGATGCTTTTATATCAGCTATTCTATGAAAACAGCACATCGGCAGAAAAAGTTTGAGATATTTAGATTTTTATATTCTCCTATTATAGTTGGACTCTTCTGAAATTTAAAACCAAATTATATCCCAAAATTACCCATGGGAGCTGTTGAACAGCAGTAAAGTTTCTGATTAGTATACGTGTGAATTTAAGTAATTTTAGCTTCAAACTACATTTATATAATATACTAGGCGTAACCACAGGTTAAAAAGTGCAACCTGGAGACTTTAATTACTAATGACAACGCGCCGGCTCACGCTGTTTATGCCAGATAGTTGGTGATCATCCTTTGCCAAAAGTCGGTCGGTCGGTCGGGTTTTTTATTTTTTATACAACGATTTGCGTCAAATAAACATGCACATGACAAGGTACTTTATTTCATAGTTATATTTGATATATTCAAAATAAAAAACAGTAACAACTTTTCAAGTTTATGCAAAGGAGTGGCGATAATATATGGGCCAATATTGCTCATTATATAATAAATTCGGCCAATTTACACTGAATATTCAATTTATATAAATTTATCAAAATATTAACTTGACTAATTGGTCTCCAATTACATCACTTGTTGACTATATTGTCGCTACGGCGCAAAGTCGCCTTCTATGAATATTATAGCATGACGTGTCAATAACAGTACCGATTGACAAAGTGCAATTTAAAGATAAATATTAAAGCCCGGCACATGACTTTCAAACAACAGACGTTTCTTTGTATACATCACAACATTCTCATGCACAGCATTTAATCTTTTTGATTATTTAAATCTGTCTTCAATAACAGTTAGTAGATGCTAAGTTAAACTTCATTTGATGTACAATTTGATGAACAAAAGTTAAAGGTACATGTATAAAAATGCATCAGTATCGATGAGTAAATAAATACCGCATGTCATGCGGTCTTCCAAATATGGAAATATGTTGCAAATATGGAATGCAAGCCGAGGTGAATCGGTGAATCTTGAGCCGGGGCTAATCCGAACTCAGCGGTATATTTAAATTTTTTACGCACAGATTAGGATGCTCCCAGCTCGCTCGCTGGTCGCGATAACATTGTTATTTAGTTAGTGTCAAAGTTCAATTTTTCTGTTTGCTGATTGGGCAAAACCATGTCACGTGCCGGTCCACAAAACGTCATGTTCGGCAACCGGTCCGCAATGAAACATTTATTGACCGGTCAATAATAAAATGGGTGCAATACGCATGCGTGTCAACCATGAAGTTCCAAAGTTCATTTTTTAAACTTTGTACTAAACATTTACGGCATTCCATTTATCCAGTTTTGGTTTCAAATTAATTTCACTCCAATAACCGGTCAATTATTCATACTTTGACACTTATATGTTTCTGAAGGACTCGTTCAACACCCTGTAGTTTGTCTTTTGCTGTCAAAGGCAGCATTACTGCCCTGTGGGTAACCTAGTATATACTATATAACAAAACACTTATTTACTGAGACCTTGGGAAAGCAGTGTGTTTTGTGGCCCCTCGACCGCCGTCTTGGGTCCACAAAATACACGGTTTTATTTATCTCAGTAAATAAGTGATAAATATTTTATGCTGCTTAATGGTTTTAGCATAATACATTTGTTGTTTATATTTATATTTTAAGTTTATACTGTATTAAGTTAAACATTTCGACATGAGGAATCGGCCTTGTAGCAGCCCGCGTTAAAAACACCCTCACTTCTCTCTCACGCGAGTCACAAAATTATACAATAAAGCTTTATCATTCTCTATGAACTAAATCAAATCCATTAAAGTTTTGATAACTTGGTACTTTTAGTATAAGGAACTACTTCCAATATTAACATTGGTTTCCAAGAAAAATCACGCTTAAGTATGGTCGCACGCAAGTCCCGTTTATCCCTTGACATGCAAGAAACTATTTTATCACCAAAATTATTATGACCACCACTTGCGAGTTTCAAAGAAACCCCAAAATCTAATTGGTTTGACGTTTCAAAACGTTTTCCAAAACTGCTTATTTTTTAATCAACCTTATTGCCAGGTAACCAAGCCTGCAAAAAGTAGCAGTTTCCTACCTATTACAGTTGTTAAAACCTACGTTTTATACAAAAAATAAATTTCAATTGCTACTACAGTATGTCCGTACTGTTTTTAATTGTCACTAGTCATGGGAGTCACATTATTTAATTGTCACTAGTCACGGGAGTCACATTTATATGTCACGTGTATCACATTAAGTTGGCGACATTATCTTCTCAACCAAACATGATTTTTCTGACATTTCACTCGCATGTAATAGTATATCTCTTTATATATCCTACAGATCTAGAACTGCTTAAACGCAATAAGTCACCAAGAAATTAGATAAGAATCCCATTACACATGTCAGTAAAAATATTACAGATTGTAGCAAGTCTGCCAGCAAGCCGTTATCAAGTTGTGTTCGCACTGCTTGTCCCAAGTTGTCAACAAGTAAGGAATAAGCATTACAAGCTGTTAACAACTTGTAGCAACCTTGTTGATATTATCAGACTTGTTGCAAGGTTGTTCCCACAAGTCTGACACAGTCACGATATAACAATATTGTTACAACCTTCAAACCTTGATATTTGTGTTTGTGTAATGTACTCAGGTGAATAAGATGCTTTGTGATGTTACTCTGAGTGTATATCCACACCGGGCAGTCTTGAAAACCTTGTGTCGTCAACCTTGTAACATTCTTGTTATATCATGACTGTATCAGACTTGTTAGAACAACCTTCTAACAAGTCTGACAATGAAATCTAGCTTGCTACAAGTTGTTAATTAACAGCTTATTCCAAACTTTTTACAACAACAACATCAGAACAAGCATTAACCCTTTAAACCCTGGTACACCATACTATTTAATAATGTGATGCGAGACCATTTTACTCATCAAGGGAACCTCCTCCACTTTTTTGAAAACAGCGAAATGTTCCCTTTTTGAAATAAAAATGCCCTTTTTGGATTGTAAAATATGTTCTATTCTGGTCACTTTTAGATAAAAATGTTAGATAAATAAAGATTGCTAGTTATTATGTAAATTAAGTCAGATCATTCATTAAGGTTAAAAACTATCATGCAAAGATGCACTGTAGCACTTGGGGTCTTTTCTAGCTTTTTAACTGGGAGGGCAATTACCCATACCTACGAATCAGATAACCCCTCCCCCAGTTTCATGGATTCTGCTCCCAGAAAACATTAATATGTGCAAAATTTGAACATATCAAATATATTAAATGGTCCACAGAATATCGTGAATGTCAGTGTCCTCTACTTATTGCACAAGCATATTGATCTCTTTGGCAGCAATTCGTCTCAATTATTAGGTGCCTATCCAGTTTTAGGGCCTCAACAGACTAGAGTGATTTGTTGTCAATGACAATTGTTATCAACAAGTTTAATTGTCCACTATTAATTTTGTGACAGTGATAGCTACACCGCACAGACTAGAAAACGTCATTGTCAATAATATTGATTTGACATCTAAAAGTAAAGATTTCCTTCGATAAAGGGAAACTACTGTTTCACTAAAAATTTAACAAATTTTTATCAACAACATTCATCATGCTGCACACACCTGATTCTTAATGGAAAATATTTTGTTGTCTACAAAAACAAAGTTGCATGTCGACAAATATTTTGCTAGCCTGTGGAGGCCCTTACTTTACTCCTGTACCACAAGAATTTAATTTATTTGAGTTTGGAGAATTAGCTCTTTGTGGAGTCTGTGTGATAAGTCCATATAACAGCAACTTTTTATAATTTTTTGGACGAATGATGGTAAATGTTCTTTGTAAATGGGTTAGTTTATCGCTATTCACATTGTTTTAATTGTCTACATTGCATAATGAAAATTTGATGCCACCCAAAAATGGCGGATATTCGTCATCGTGAGAAAGGCTAATTGTAATTTTTAAGGAATTTTCTAAGTATTTTACACAATAAAAGAGACTCCAAAATTTAGTTTTGATGTGCTTGTTAGCTTGGCCTAAGCCATTGGTTTTAATGGCCTCTACAAGTGTACAAAATGGCCAGGGTGAATCTCTCAATTTTTCTGCGCCGAAGATTTTTTCGAATTCATGTAAAGCTGCGCCAAAACCTGCGCCAAGAAAATTGTCGCGAAAAAATATGCGGTTTTCGAAAATATCCGAAATTTTCACCGAATTTTCGAAATT